TACATAATTTTTTAAGAAATCTGTCCAACGCACTAATATATTAAAAACATAGGTACATTAAATTATCTTTATCAGAATCCAATCATGATAGATTAATTTCAATGCGTGAAACCAGATGAGTTCAAAGGCACGAGTCCGTAAAACGATTTCATGAAATGTACATTCCGATAGTAAATATGATAGAAGAACTCCTAAGAAGTAATAAATGGAAGTGTTTTTCTACAATGCGTGTTTACGACTGCGTGGTTTGTAGTAGAAAATTTTAGTCAGTTGATGTTTAGTAGTACATCAAAATGGACGTGGTTATGCTTTATACAATTTTGGAGTATGAAACAGATGAATAACTATTTCTACTTACGAATAATTTCCGTAATGGAAATCATGAAATGTTTAGTCAACGGAGCAGAGAGGGATGTTTCAGTACTTTAATTAGTAATAAAAATTAAATAAAACATATAATAAAATATAAATAATATATTGAAAAATATTTTAATAATGTATAAAATAATTTAATCCCGCATTGCGTTTCACGTAAAAATTGCCCTCGTGGCGACTGCTGCGCGATTGACGTGCGTGATTCGATAATCGCTCGCGTGAATTATTAATAAACATCAATACTATTTGTCATGGTTTTAACTTTTATGTGATCACGCATCGCACACCACGCAATCGCGGATATGTGGTTGTAGGAAACCACGGCTTAACTGATGTAGGTAGCACAATGAGTGTACTAAAATTTTCAAAAAAAACAAATTAATCAAGACAATTATAAAGATTATTCGCCGGAAGAATATTATAGAAAATCACTTTTTATACCATTTCTTGATTATTCTATAACACATTTAAAAAATAAGTTTGAACAGCATTATGATTTAATTTTATCTTTTCAGAATATTATGCCGAATAAAGTTGTTTTTACAAATGAGAAAGATGTTATTAATTTATGGGATTTTTACAAGACAATATTTTCGGATCATCAACAGCTTAATTCGGAATATTTATTGTGGAAATCCAAATGGGTTAGAGAAAAAGAAGATTTAGACCATCCTCAGCATTTGAAGCATTTTCAAAATGTGATTCTGAATTTTTTCCAAGTATAAAACAATTTTTAAGTCAATTTTTTGTCTCACGTAATGTATATAGTTGACTGATATAAGCATTGAATTAATTGAGAACATGTTTCGTGAAACAAGTTTTAAAGAAATAGAGATCCATTTTAGCAATTTGCAATATGCTGTACAATCTGTTGTTGAATTTATAGGTAATAATTAAATCAATATTTAATTAATTATTTAATATAAATAATTTGTCTTTTGTAAAACGGTTTAAACCATTTTCTAAAGTAGGTATCACCAGAAATAAATTAAGCAATTTTAGCTAGTTGTTTTCATCCTCTTTATAAACTTTGGTAGTAATCAAATCATCATAAAAATGAACGTCAACGATTACAAAAGTATGTAATGATATCACAGAAAAAACATTTAAGTTTAGTTAAAAATTATAGTAGGTATTTCTATTGAGGGGAGTGACAGTGATAGTTTTTACTATCTAATGAACCTACAAAAGACGATAACAGTTCGTAATCGATTTAGAAACTGACTGATCGAGGCATCTTGTCTTTGTCCATATCATATAATTACCCTACAGTAAAACAAATATTCGTTCATTACAATACAAGTTTGTGTTCTTCAGCGTCACTTGAAAGAATGTTTCCTTCTGCTGGCTTCATATATTCGCTTACGCGTTCTAGGTTATATGAAAAAAGGTTCGAAAATTTAATATTTCTTAAAAGTAATTCGTCATTTTCAAATTAAAGTAATAAGTAGATAATATAGTGATTTTATTTAATACTAAAACAAGATAATGATCCTGGTCTATTGCTATGTTCCATAATTAATATTCATGTGTTTTAATTTTTATTGAAAATTAATAATATTGAAATACAATGTATTTTAACACTTTTACTTAATTTAATAAAAATCGAAAAAAAAAAAAAATAGTAGTCCTGTATCTTTGTATTATAAATGTATCTAGTATTTAGTATTCTCCTACAAATTTGAATTGTATCTTGTATCTACGGGTGTAAATAATTGATGTAAGTACTTATATTTTTTTAGAATTTCGGTTCTATTTTTTTTTTTTTTAATTTCCATTCATTTTTGGTATACTATAATATGCATTCAATTTAATGTAATCAAATAATTTAATATACTTTGTATTTACTTTTAAAATGCTCTTTGTATTGCAATTTTTTAAAGAAAATTGCTTTTTTAAGTACTATATTTTATATGTAAGATCAGAAGTGACATATTTTTTTTATAGTATTCATGAGCATATTAAATAGATAAAAGGTCAATGTTAAACATATCTAACTGAAGATAAAATATTGTATATTCATTAGTTTTCTGTTAGATAGAAACTATATAAAAACAATCCACTATGTGACATGTTTTTTGGATTACAATTGATTCTCTCTAGAAACAATAAACAAATTTTATTTCTTCTTTATTAAATTTTTTCTAATCAATAAATATTGATCTCTTATCAATAAAATAGTTTCTACAAATATATATTAATATCAATATTAAATTAATATTACAGAATTGAGAAAATGGGCTTTTCAATACAACAAATATTTTTTTTTGCACATTTAATAAAATAAATATTTTAATATAGATAGATTGGTTAAATATGTAATAATATTATAAAATCAAAATGTACACAAAAATTTTTTTAAATAATATTATTTATGGCTTAATAAATAACAAATTAACCTACTAACTTAGTATTCTCAAATCATTATTGTATTAAATATGCAACATAATAACAATGAAATTGGAAGATGCTGAACTAAAAAATATTTCATTTTTAAACCCTGCTCAAAAACTATTAACTTGTACAGTACATTATTGTATACTAATTGTTAAAATGAATTGATTAAGTATAAATTGTAAGGATTACATACATTTTAAAACAATAAATAATCCAAAAATAGAAAATAGGTTATGGGTAATTTTTTTAATTATCGTTCATAAAAAAAATATCGATAATTTCAAAACATTTTTCATTGTAACACAAACATTTTCAAATTACAAATTTAGTTAAAAAAAAAGAAAAAAAAACAGTTTAAGTTCTTATTATGTATTAAAATAGCACAAACTTTAAAATTGAGAATACTAAACATATTTATTAATCAAAATATTGAGCGTATACATTTCTGAATACTTCATTGTACTATTAAATTATAATCAATTACATGTTATTATTATAACAATTTAAGAAAGATTTTAAAAGTATAATTATTGAAATCACTTAATATTATATGTTGTTGATTAGTTGTTTATTTTAGAAACTATCGCATGCTATCTTTGAATATACTAGATACTGTTAATTATTATTAAACAAAATTGTTTAAGTATAAATTATTATTTACAATTATATAAAAATAATAGCTTAAATATGCAATTATTAAAACTTACAGAAAACCAAGTACAGCATTTTTATCAATAAGAATAAATTAAAATGTTGGAAACAAATGATCTATTCAAATTAGTTTTTTTTTTCGATCATCTACAATACAAAGTTAATTTTTCATATAATTCTGAATCTTAATAAAATATTGTAATTATATTATTATAGACAACATTCATTTGGAAATTTTCTATTTTAATATCTATGTTCACCATTGTATAATAATATCTTTTCATAATGCTATTTTCATTATTGTTTATACAATTAAGAGTACCAGAGTAGTGAAAGATAAGAATAATTTATACTAAATTAAGTAACAAAATGTTTTAATGAATTGGTAAATGATTGAAAAATAATTAAAACATTTGCGACAAATATACATGAAAAAAAAAAAAATAAAAAAATAGTGGTTATTTTTTATTTTTGTTTAATTGTACCCGAAGAAAAATTGTATACATACATTTTAGATAGCCTAATATTGATTAGCTATTCAATAATATAGCTTTAAATACTGCACCTCAGTTAAGACTTAAATGTATAATCAAAATAATACTTTTAAATTATTGTCTAAAATTAAAAAATGGCCATATTAGTTTTAAAAATGTTTTCAATTATTAAGTTAGGAACATTTTAAAGAAGCACATATGATAAAAAAAAAAAATGTTTTTTTAATTATTTTTAAATACTAAGTAATTTTAACTATGACTATATGAAAACACTAGGTTAAAATTAAATGTAAAAAAAAAAATATATTATTTTAAGTGATATTAAGATATTTAGAGTATAAAAGAATTAATTATAAGAATATCCCTATAATGTTATTGAACTCAGCTCATTGTAATTGTATATCTTGAGTATAAAACGTACTCACATTGCACAAAAATTCATTAATCTAAGAATTTTAATTTTGATATTTGATTCATATATAAATATGTGACTTTAAGTGTTAAAGAGCATAGAATTATCAGAATACATTTCAGAATAACTTTTAGATTTTATTTAAAAATATGATATTCTAAAAAAGTACCCCGAAAGATAATGGCATATTCGTTGTCCGAAAGTAGCCTCTTCATATATCAAAATAAAATGCTGTAATAATTCAATTTTTAATATTAAATAAAGAAATGTTGTATCTGATGTTTATCATCTTCAACACAAAAAATCATAAATTTATATCTAAATCAAATTTAAAAAATAAAATATTGAGACTAGTAAATCATTGTGCAAAGCATGCACTTTTAAATGTATAAATACACCAGCTTGGGCCCAATGCCATCACAAGTATTTTTTAATTTTTTATTTTTAATTGAATAATATAAATAGAAATCTTAAATAAAATGTTAATACCATTTTTATTAGAATTGAATGCTCTTTAAAATTAAAAATACTTTTGTTTTGTGCAGTTCTGAGATAAAATACTTTAAAGATATTTTAATATTAAAAGTACAGAAACAAGGAGTTTTATTAAATTAATTTGTTTAAAATTTTACACAGTAGGAAAAAAAATCATAAATAATTCATAGAATAATTATTAAAATATTAATTGAAACAGCCATAATTAATATAAACTTATGTATATAAATTAGAGTTGGCTATAAGTATCCATGATTTAGTTCAGATGGTTTTTGATTTATTTAATGATCACCAATTAATGCTCGTATCATACTAAAATAGAAAAATAATAATAAATGTTAATGTATGATCTAATTATCTAAAAAAAATGCTTACCCATATAAGTAATAGAAAAATGAGAATAAGTAAAATGCCAATTTTATCCAACCTTCACGTTGATATTTATTTAATTTATCAGCATTCATTATACTTGTCGGATCATAAAGACCAAAGCCAGACATTGCAGGTCGATTTCGATACCTGTAATATATTAAAATATAGTATATATTTATATGTCTTGTTTGAAAATAAATTAATTTGAAATATTTCTTCAGTATCTCTTACTTTGTTATATGATAAGCCATTAATGGGACATTGATAGCAAGGGATAGCCATTGACCTCCAATCAAGAATAATAGATTGGAAAAGAAATGTAACATATATTCTGGAATCACTAGCTGAAAAGTTCAATATTTTATTAATCAAAACATAAATTATTACATCAGTCAAACAAATAAAAATTGACTTGATGTACTATAATTTATTTATTATTTAATTAAAAGTTACAAGTAAAAAATAATCTATTTGATCACTCGAAAAATGTAATTTTAAATAGTACCTATAGTGAAAATAAACATTTCAAATTGATACAAAAATACCCTTTATACACAAGTTTAAATATCAACATTCAGAAAAAAGTTTTAGTATCGATTACTTCATCAGTTAATTAATAGCCATGATATCCTGATTTCATATAATACATACATATATTTACATTTAAATCATAAGAATATATAGTTTAAAAATAATATTCAATTTATTTTATTGTTATATAACATATTTTATACTTACTGGATTTAAGCTGTTACATTGATCAATGGGATTCTTACAATCATTCTTCAGTTCATCAAAAGCAATAACCTAAAACAAAACAATTTTATTAAAAAAAATTATTTTTATATTTGTTTTGGATTACTCAAAAAAAAAATAACTTGATATTTCTTAAATAATTTTTAGTAATTTCATCCAATTAACACAGAGTAATATAAAAATAAAATGCATAAAGTGGTTTAATATAATAAATTATAAACAGAGGCAGTTTGTTAAGAAATACTTTGAAACTGTGTCTTCCCTTACAATAATACCAGTTACTTGTAAATTATAATTAATTAAAAATAAAAATGAACTGAAGTTTTTTATTTGAATTGAAAAACTTATAAATTTATTTTTCTGTTATAATTTAAGGAAAAAATAATTAAGAAATAGTAAATTTGAAAGAAATACTATTTTAGGTATTAGTACAACGTACGATGATGGCTGAGTTATTAAAACTTTTGCTTAGTAGTTTCAACATCTAATATTATCGGCTGGTAAGATGGAGAGGGTTGGGTAGGTATTGAAACTAGGTTCATGATCATGACTTTATACAATGTGTCACCATTGCTCTATCACTACAGTCCATTGTAATTTATTACATTAAATAATTATATTTATCTGATGCCTATTATTTTTTGAAATTTTAATATTTCATTTAAGTTTTTGGTATGTAAAAAATTTAGATCATAGAATTTTTTTAATGAATAGTTTCAATTGTTCAATATGTTAACATAAAAACAAAAATGAATTATTAAAAATTTAAATTTTCATGCTCCCTAGAACATTAATTCATGGACCATCAATGATTATAAATTAGATAAGTATAATGATATGAGTATTCCAACTATAGTAGAACACTATAAATATATTACATAATGAGGAATCCATAAGTTAAGTTAACCTACTTGATACATTTAACCTAAAAGAAAATAAATACAATTTTACTACCTATCCAACTGTAAAAATTCTTAATAGGTACTTGTAATATTATGTGTATGAAATATATATTTATTGATTTATATTATCAGATATTTTTGATTTAAATAATTTGTATGGTAAATTAACTGTAACTATTAAAATGCACTTATATAAACTGTAAATACAAATATTTTAATGTGCCTATATAAATAATCAATATTTTATAAAATAAATTGTTTTTTCTCAAAATGATTGTATATTTTATTTTGAAAATATTTTATGAAATTAAAACTAGTTATGTTTCATCTCGAATTTCATTGGTTTGTGCTGTACATTTTTGATTTCATAACTACTAACAGTTGCTTTTTTCATATAATTTTAATTTTCATAAACTTTCAGTTATAATATATTTATTCATGTTTGTAATATAATTTTTAAATAAGTTTATTGATTAGATACAATTAATATTTAAGTAAGCAAAAGATCGACAAATTTGATTTAAACTAAAATCTAACTGTGCATCAAATAATGAAAACTCAAACTTCAATACATCATAAGTCAATTGCAATTTCTTGGGAAATATAATATTATAGTTGTATAGATATAAAAATCTAGTTTTGATATGGTCACTCTTAATAAAAGCAATGAGACTAATGCAAATATATACGTGACCAGCAGATAAGTTATTATTCAAAAATCAAGATGCTAGTTACATGACATCTGACCTGAATGATTGTGGAAGAGAGCACCATGAATGAAGACATATAATTTTATACTAAAAATAGTAACAAACTACTCACATGGAACACCGAGAAGAACAGCAAAAAGGCATCGGTTATCATAGCGACGATGTACGTGCATGCAGTGAAATTGAACGCCATGGCTACACCGACGTCGTTCGTCGGGTCGATCGAGTGTTAGATGATAACGTGACCCAGCACGGTAGATAGCCGTGTCCGGTGCGGACGATAAGCGGTCTTCGGGGCGTCACGGACGAGAGAGAGAAACCGAAGGGGACGGAGCGCGTTATGGACATGCGAATTTCAACTCGATAACAACAGAGTTTTTCGATTCCCAGCGGCGGAAGGAAGCAACGCAAGCCAATCGTCCGCACAAACGTAACAGGACCGCGAAACGAACTGAACGTGATGAAGACGAAAGCGTTGAACGCGGACCGTCGTCGAACCGGCGAAAGATTTGTTGATAATACTCGGTATGGCGAACGTGACCGAATTCAGTAGAAATCCGGAAAAACGTGAACGAGACGACTTCTGACCGTTTCCGTGTGTAGAGACCTCGTTAAGTACACCGATCGCGTGATTAGCGGTTAACGACGCCGTCCGTTGTTGTCTTGTTAGTCGATTAAACTTGTTTTGTCCGCTTTTCGATATCAACAATAACGACCGCTGTCTCGCGTGATAACAACGATAACGGATACGCTCAACAACGTCAACAATATCAATTTTATTGTCGACGATGAGATATTTCGTTCATTTTAGCGAACCGTTCCTTTCGTCCCGGGTCCATAAAAGGTACGATTCCAAATGATTCTTTCCGTTCACTTGCTCTTACCACCGGTTATTCAGCGACGCACCGTCGCAGTGTCGCATCAGGTGGAACGACGTGCATTTCTGTTTACATAGTCACTCCGGTCTCGCGCCGCCGATTATGATTTTCGTTAAACGCGGCAATCGTTTTATTTTAAATCATCTATTAAATTTTTTTTTTTTTTTGTAGATACTAGATAATATAATATAATTACTATCTGCGAATTTATATAGTTGAACTTAAATATTAGTAATGAATATTGTTAATTATTATAAATTAGTTCGCTGTCGTAAATATATATATATATACACATAATGTGATTGTGCATGGTAAATGTGGCGTGACAATCACCGTATCAAAAGTGGTATATTGAAAATTGCATTTAATATAAAAACAGGCTTTTTTTTGTGTCTATAAATCTAATTATATCATAATTCGAACGGCAGATTATAATACTTTTGGCATTGAAGACCGTTTTAGTTAGGTGAACTTATTTATAGTTTATTTATCAATTTGGGTTATATTTTCAAATATTAAACGCATTAAGCCCGATTCACACAGGTACGACACGTCACGACATGACACGACATTAAAAATTGTCTGTCGGACATATATAATCCATATACGACCGACAGACGCGTACTTAAGTAATTCACAATAGATAAAATACAAACAGTACGAAGACAATTTTCGTTTATAGTAGTCAGCCGTTGCCTGCAAAAATGTTTAAAACATTTTCAATGACTGATTTGGCAATAATTGCAGTGTTGCTTGTTGAAGAGGAAAATAATTTTTAAATATAAATCCAAAAAGGCATATATGGGTTCATGACATATTAAAAAAAAGATAAGTAGACGGAGAATACGTGACATTTATTTTTGTCTTTCAAGCTTCTTCAATTTTTTATAATTATATTAGATAATAAAATAAAATAATTTTAAATTAATATCTAGTCCTAAATACCTAAACATTTTCAATAATAATATTTTTATTTTATTGATAATTTATATTTTAGTTGCATAAAATAATGTTCGATTCAACAAATTACATTTTTTGACAGAATCCCAATAGACATTTGTCGGTTGCCTTATTTGAACCGACAATGAGCGAACCGGCACAGTCACCGACAGAAAGACAAAACATTCTTCTTGAGAATGGTCGGTCGGTCAGTCAGTGCTGGTGCAGTGTTAGTCGTGTCAGTGTAAATATCATCATAGAAATACGTATTACAATATTTTATCGTGTCGTGTGGTGACATGTCGTACCAGTGTGAATCGGGCTTTACACTCATTACAGTGTCAAATCATCAAGAGCTTCTAATGGAAAATTGGACGATTATACATTTATATTTAATAATATTGAACATTAAGCCGCGTCCAGACTAGACGACCAAGGGTACCAAAGGCACATGTGACGACCTTATTCGGTGATGTTGGTCTAGGTGTATACAGCGCGATCGAACGAACGACGACGACGAATGTGCCTTCGGTTGCCTTCGCTCGGGGAGCGGTACACAAAGGAATTTGTTATCAGTTTAGACACGGTTTGTTGATATTTTAGTCTTCGTCAACATTTGGTCCGATCGGATATATAAAATAAATTGTGTGCGTTCACAGTTTAAACTAGCGAAGGCTTCCAAACGCGGACAAATGACGAATTCGGAATGAGTTTAGACAGTATGCCTATGTTCTCACATCTAAATACAGCTAACGCCGAATGTGAAGACGTTGGCATTCGGTTGCCTTGGTCGTGTAGTCTGGACGCATTTTAAAGCTATTACACGATACTATTATTACGTTTATATTTTATGTTATTAGAAATATTTCCAAACGGTTAGATAAATATATCGAAAATTAAGTCATTTTAGAAGGAACAGAAGCTGTGAAAATAAATACATTTTTTGTGATAATTGACAAACTGGTCCTAGAATTATCAGAAAGATCAAAAGCTTACACTAAACTTGATAGTCTATTTAATTTTTATTCAGACTTGCTATTTATATGCCCAAAAATATTAAAATAAAAAAATAAAAGATAAATTAAAAAATATTCCAATGACCTAGGAGATGAGTTCTGTGATGAATGTTTACATTTCAAGCAATTTTTAAATAAGATTGAAATAGAATAGTCAGATAAAAAATCTCTTGGCATATTTTTGAAAATTTGAAGAGAAAAAAAAACTGTTGCAACGTTTCCAAATTTAGACACTGCTTTGAAAATGTATCTAACCACTATTCCATCAAATGTAACTGTTGAAAGATCATTTATTATTTTAAAGAGAATTAAAAATGATCTAAGTAGTTCCATTTCAAATACAACGGTATCTAATTTGTTATAATTTAATGCGAATTCAGAATTACTAGAATCTATGAATTTCAACTACTTAATAAATATGTTTGCAGCAACTAAGTCGAAAAAGCGCCAAATATAAATATTATTAATTAATAAGTATTATGGATGAAAAAAAAATGCATTAATTATTTTTTTTTAATAAAATATATCAAGAATACTTTTTTTTTTGTTTTTTTTTGTTGTATTTTATAACTAATTATTTATCAAAAATATAAACGAACGAAGGAACAAGTAAGAACGTTCGGGTAGAACCGTTCCTTATCATACCTTTACTGAATTCATTCATTTAGAACGATTTGTTCAGGAACGACCCATCATTGATTATCATTAATCATTAATGTTTACATGTTTACAAAACATTTTTCATGAAAACAATAATTAATAATTGGTTTTTCAACTAAGGTAGATAACAAAGGTATTTACTCAATATTATATCGATAAAACTACTGTTAACTCTCTGGAAAAAAAATGTTTTATTCACATTGGTTGGTTTTAATAGTAAATCGAAGGTACACAATATTTATTTTAATCCTGCGCCATAGTAAGCCAAGTACCTTATAAGTATTTATACTTACTCAATGATTTTTACTTTAGGGATCAGAAGATAAATCATGAGACATTTTAACAAAAATAATTGTAGGTTTTAGTTTCTGTCAAAATACTGCGATTTGCAAAGGAATCTTACTAAAAAATTGACGAATTTTATTGAAGGGTATTTTGAATTTATTGATTTGCCAAAGATTAAATTAGACATTTCAGTTTCCTGAGAAGTAATAAATTATATATTACTATTGTATTAATTGCTATGGCATTTAATAAACCTTTATTATAACACTAAGTACCAAAGATTTTTCACATTAACATATGTTTGCCTATAATGTTTTAAATAAAGGTGTTGTGTTATTTTATTTTTATCAATTTCCAAAAAATACAATCTACTATAAACTTTAAATAAAACAATAAAAACTATTTTACTATTTTTTTCTGTCCTTAATTATTATATTATGTTCAGATAAATATTTTATTTTTTGTAATTTTTTTCATCTTTAATTTTCACTAATTTCATTTTAATCAGTTGAAATCAATGAAATACCTATGATTTTTTTTATTTTTTTTTAATTCGCATTAATATTTTCAGATAATTTGTGCGAAAAATTATTTTAAAGTACCATTTTTATTCAGTTATATTTGTTTATGAAAAACAATATTTTTTCATTGATATAAAATATTGAAATCTTAAAAGAATTTATCAATTATTATATCCACCCAATAATAATAATAAATTATAAGCAATAAAATATTTTTTTTTTAAAAAAAAAGTTATAATTGTCTATTATAATTTTATTACAAATCGCATTAAAATTAATTTATATATAGTTAGTTAAATATTTGAATGACAAACCATAATATCATATTATTCTACGTGTCTATATATTACCATCTATAAACTAAATAATAGTTTATCGTATGCGTGGCAGTACGTATAGCTAACTTATTATATAAAATATTAAATACTAATTAAAATAAAATACAAATAGCAATTTTCAAACATTATTTACAAAAACTTTGTATAGAAAATCACTGCAAGCAATATTATGAATGTTAATATGAATTATCTGAAAAATATTATCTATAATACTGTTGTACATTAGAAAAGATATCTACCAATATTGATGTTTGTATGTTTGAACACGAAATCGTTATAGTTATTATAAGTTTATATTATAAAGAAGTGCATTCATGTACAAAATATGCTTTCCAAACGTCTGTCTACATTAAACAGCATAAAAATATAAAACCACTTTGTATTCATAACAACTAAGACAATACATGTATTAATGTATAATTAAATGTAAATATTTATATAAAATATATATTATATATGTATAATATATATTGGTATTTATAACATAATAATTTAAAGAAATCACATTATATATATACGAGGATGTATATACCTCCACGTTTTTACTTCATTTAATTTGGTGGATAACAATTATTATATCCGAACTGCATTTTTATTTATAAATTTATTTTTATACATTCATTATTATTATAAAAGCGACTTCTATTGTATGGCATTATTTTAAGACTGTGGAGATTCCGGCGATGCATTGGGTGATGCTAGTGAAGGTTTGATAGGATACATCGACGCCTGTAGATCGAAACCTGGTGGCATGGTCATTGTTCCTTGAGCCTAAAAATAAATTAACAAACGTTAAAGTGGTAACAACGTACTAATACAAGGTAACAAATGCGAGATGAATTAATTACTTCGAGATGGACGGGGCAAGTTAGCAAAATGTTTAATTTTTTTAAGAAGTTAAATTTGCAAAGATATCGTTAACTTAAAAAATGCACGTATCTGTGGATGCAAAGTAAATGCTCTCATCGTTATACTAGTATATAAAATTATAATATACCTGTATGTAAGTTATCAGTCTTCTTAATTCTTCTAGAGCGTTTGCTTGCATTAAAATGTAATTTTTCGCCAATAGGAGTGTAGCAATTTTCGATAATTTACGTACGGATGGCGAGTGAGCATATGGAATGACGCTTCGAAGTTCGTCTAATGCATCGTTCAAATCATGCATCCTTCTCCTTTCCCGCGCATTGATGTTCAAACGAACCGACTTGCCTTGCTTGGATTTCGATTTTCCTCCAGTGCTGGACATTGTAGAGGTACCTTGACCATTGTTTGGTATTCTAAATAAAAAAAAAGAAAAATTACAATTTTACGGAATCAATTGCTCACTAATGTTTTCGTTGTATTGCTAACCTGTTATCCGAACCATTGTTGAATTGTTGACAAGCCGGCCCTGGGCTGTTTTCGTCCGAAGCTACTGAGGATGGTTGAGGGAAATAATATCCTCCCAACCCCACAGCGCTCAGAGGAGTCCGTCGGCCGGGCACTTGATTCGATTCGCATGCGAAGTACGTGCCGTTAGTTTCTAAGGAGCTAGATGTGAAATCCATGGTTCTGAAATCAATGAAAATAATATATTTCCCGTGGCGACTAATGAATATAGTATCATACATTTTTCAGTTTGATAATATTTCAGACAGAAATGCACTTGAGTGGTTTTATATCGATAATTGCTATATGTAACTTGTGAGTCTAACAGTTTAATTAAATATATTAACCAGTTTTAAATAAATGATTTTCAAAACAATGTAGTCCGAAAACCCTTGAGCTTTATATTTCTATATGTTTGTGTATCTAAATCTTTATTAAAAATAATAATAATGTATATATCTCTTTCTACCCAATAGTGGTAACAGTAATTAATATATTTATAGAAATCGTAATCGCACATATCACTTATAAACACATCTGTAATTATAATGTAATTTAAATATCTGTTTATTGTTTTTTGTATATATTGAGAGTTATGTAACCGAAAAGGCTGATGCATGTGTGTGTTATTGTAATATTCGTGTGCGTGATTTATGTTTTTCTTGGTCTTTTGTCAAACACCGTTTGTAAACGTTTAAATTTTACGTATTATCGTTTCCTAGTTGTATTGATCTAATAGCAAGTGATTTTATTTTTATATTTTTGTAATCAAAGGTAAATGCACAAATGGCCGTAGACGGTTTGGCAGTAATTACTATATTATATTCGGCGATTTATTATATTATTATATTTTGATAGTCTAAGGCAGCGTTTCTCAACCTAGAGATACACTTATCCCTAGTGGTAAGCGAAAAGATACGAGAAGGCACTCGGAAAAAAAAAGTATAATGGTGGAAAATATAAAAATTTATATATATCAAAAAAATAAATTATTTAATAAGTATTTGTGTGTGTTTGTGTGTGTGTGTGTGTGTGTGTGTGTGTGTGTGATGATGTTTGTGGAAAAGGCTTTATTATCATACATCTTCAATGAAGATAAATATCGTAATAGATTTTTTGTGAGTTCAGATTTACAAGTTTATTTATTATTTATTAAACCAGATTTTAAAAATAAGTGTTAGTAAAGAACACTAAGGATCACATTAAAATTAAATAGTATAATTTTTATAAATTTTTTTTATATACATTATAGCGTATACTGATTAAAATAAATAAATACTTTATAATAATTTTTTTTTATTAAAACTAATTTTATAATTTCTTATTAATTCTATATGAAAATAGACAAATTGGCAGTTGAGTGTATACTAATGAATAAAAGATGAGAGACGATGGTCTAAGGTGATTGTTATGTGCTCTAATTACCATTTGTTTATTGTATATTATGTATTATTACATGTGTGCAAATCGCCAGGAGCTTTATAATTTTGATTATTATTCCACGTGCGCAAATCGTCGTAATTGCTAGACTATAATTTTGATAATATTACCTTTTAGTAAGAGCGTATATACTAATCGTTTTCTCTTATATTCATTATTTTATGTTATATAAATTATCTGTGCCTGCAGATCATTTCGTGAATTATTTTATCATTGTGTGCTGGTTTGAAATTATTTATTTATATTTAGGTAAACGGCTACTTAATCTCTACTCCATTACATTGTGAGTTCCTTTTTTTTTTTTTTATTAATTTATTTGTATTTTAAACACTGTTGAGCCAGAAGGGTCACTTATTATTATTTAATTATATGATTGTGTTTTGTTTCAACCAAGCTACTATTATCGTTATCTATATTATTCTAAATTATTTAATCGTATTTCTGTGAATTATTTCTACCATTTTGTGTCTTATTTATCTGTTTAATTTGTAACAGCAGCATACATATTAACACATGCTACATCGTAACAGTTTTGTAGTTTTATTTTACTTTTTACTTTTCAATTAGCTTTTAAATTACACACAAATACATATTACATATATACACATACTTACACACATTTCGACCTTATACCTCACGAGTATTTGTACGGCGAACCCAACCACTACTAATTGAGCTGTTTACTATTACACATATAATCCATCGGTGGTGTGAAGTGTAAAACTCACTATCAGTCGGTGACCAGGTATGGGTCATATAATTTTATGCATTCTGCCCAAACAATATTTAACAACTCTTACATAGTACTTTTAGATCATTATTCAATTAATCCGATAAGATCGAGTTATTTATTAAAAAGGACTTAAGATGTTAGCTTCAATATCAAGATTTTAAAATAATAAAAGTTTGTCATCACGCACATGTGTTTTTTTTGCACTAACTTTATTAATCAATAAATTATTTGAAAGTCAAAATGAGTAGAAGCTAATCAAATCCTCCTTATATTTTAAAGTATTATAATATTTCTTATAAATAGGGTCCGGATTTTTATGTAAATGCATATTTTTCTACAATTCGCATTTCTACAATTTCCCAATGATACTCAACATTAAACAACGTTAAATATTTTAACTATACAATTTTACATAAAATAAAGTTATACTTATGTAATATAGACTATTTAAGTTGCATATTAATTGTGATTAAAATATAAAAGTAAAAGTAGGTTTATAATATAGGAATAATTTTTAAGATTTTACTTTTTTAATTAACAAAACCATTAATTTTAATTCTTAAACTCTAGGCCATACATTTTCTAATGATTTATAATAATAAAAATGTATCATTGAATCAATAATTAAATAGTGAAATTATACACTTTAGACTTTTACGGATTATCCCTTGCGCCATTTTTTAAATTTATATTATAATTACCTATAAACGAGTAACTTAACTACTGGTTTCATATTCAATTTTAGTTAATAAAAGGATTAAAAAAATATTTTGCTTCAGACTAAAAAATCAAAATGTGAACATTAGGTACTATATAAGAAAAGAAAAATTTAAAAATTACATATCCGGAAAAAATATTTTTTTTCATATATTTTGCATACATTTGACTTCAAACAATAAGAAAATAGTCAATATATCAAAAACAAGTACCGTTAGAGTAAGTGAATAAGTGTTTAATAATAAATCACTTTATATTATTGTTTTTAATGGTTCTGAGAATAAGAATATATAGTGCAGACACGCATTATAATCAATATAATATCTCTAGTGCCCTTAATCCACTCGCATAATATAATACGTTATGCCAATTTAAAATAATTAAGTTTACTATTAAGTTTAATACCAACATTAAGAAGTAATGGGTATTTTTTAGTGTCCACATTCCTGGTTATACGGAAAACAACTAGAGAGCAAATACAATAATAATATTATAAATTAATTGCGATGCTTCAAGTATATATTTTAATATATTGTACGAGAGAATTATTAAATAATTAAAAGCAGGCGAGCCAGTTACTTTACCTAGAAATACACATTGACCATTTTGGTATTGAACATTAAAAAAGTACATTTGGTTAATATTTAATAAACTTAATCGATGATCCGATTGGCGTGCTTTGTAGTTATGCTGTACATGTATGTATGTAGCACATAAAATATTCGGTGCTAAAAATGAGACTCAGGTCCACGCAGTATGTTGTAACTTATGAAGAAAATGTTGAAACATTATTACAAGAAGATATAATTAAATGTGGTCGTATTCTTATCTCGAAGATTAATATAAAACGCACATAAAGAACACACAAATTTATGCTTGATAATATTAAATTGTAATAAAGCTATGGTTTAATTTTACAATATTAAAGCGCGTAGTGTAGTATCAATTTAGTATATTTAATAAAAATGCAAATCATTTATTTAGTTTTTATTTTTTTAGCACATTAATTTGTGTTACATATGGATGTGTACATAAATCGTTTACCTATTTTTTGACTGCAATGTATATCTATCCTCGATCAAATTTTCAAGTATCCCTGAACGTTCAGATAAACTTAAACGTATAGCTTTTGTCAATTTAATGATTAAATAATAATTCGATTTATATAATATTGACCAACGATTAAGCAGTTTTTTATTTTATCAATCGATTATGGTTAGCACATTTAATTAAAACATCATTTATTCATGGATAATATTCATGATAAAGAGGTATTATTACCAACATACAGTGCCGCAATTACAATAACTTGGGCCTGTGTGCAGTAGCGTAGCAAGGGTATAGCGAACTGTGCCTACGCCAGGGGCGCGAATTGCAAAGGGGCGTAAAATTGTGCAAAAGTCGTATTTTTATCCTACAATCAAATCGAAATTTTTCTATTATACTTTTTGAAATACATAGATGATGTCTATTTGTACAGACTATATTTGAATTTAATGATGAAATTATAAAAATAGCACAAGGGCATTTAAATAATAAACGTCGTATGAAGAAATTATCGATGAATTTGCTACGCATAAAGCGAGAAAAGCAAATTTTCAAAGTTTAAACACTGTAATAATGACTTATAAATAAAAATTGAATTCTTAAAAAAAAATATCGTAAAATCAAATTTTAATTGATTAAAAAGCGTTTTTTTTTCTAAGTTTGGCAGGAGCGCTAGCGAGTCTTTCTACGACACTGCCTGTGTGTAATTAAAATGAATGCCCTCCCCCGCACTTGGACTCTGCAGGGAATTCGTACCGTATATGTAACTAAACTATTTTGAATTTCGATTATACAGGCTGTAAAAGAAACGTTGATGTACGATAATGTGTACAAAACAAAACTAATCAATTATTTTTCAAACTCCATAAGTAGTTATTATTACTAAATGGTTTTATTTTCTTGCTTTCTACATATTTTTAAAATATTACCATTGGGTAATGGGCCCGTGTGTTTGACACACGCAACACACCCGGTTATTGCGGCACTACCTACATAATTATTATGCTAACGCGAGATATTAGAGCTGTAATAACACAAATAAATATATAATGTCTAAGTATAGCCAAATAATTGAAGTGACATTTATTGATTATAAAATAATATTTTATATAATTTTCATTTAAGAATCATATATTTATCTGTTTATATAATTAAACTTACTGCTGGTAAATCTTTACCAAATTCGTCTTGCAGTATCTTATTAAGCCATAAAACAGACGTATAACGTACGTTAAGGGAGTTATTTTCGGATTACCTTAGAAATGAACAGAAAAAAACTAAGAAATACTTGGAAATTAAATTTTACAAACCACTTGATAAAAATGTTTATAAAATAAAAAATGTTATTATTAATAAATTGAAAATATAATATAAGGATAATTCTATAAGCTATTTACCTAGTGCTAAGTAATATGAAGATTTTTTCGAGTTTATTTTTTTATCAAAGTTAAATGTTTGAAACGTAACATGACTGATATTTTGACAAATATTGATGATTGATTATTTCCGTATTTAATCTAAAGTCAAGTTATTTTTAAATAAACTAGATTTTGATAAGAATTGTTTTTCGCACGTGAATTATATATTATCCATTAGCCTTTTAAATAAAAAACGAGTAACATTAATAGTATAAAAAAGACCTATACTTCATACTAGCATCTCACAAGAAATATTTTTTACTCTTATTCGATTCTCAATGAAATACGTGAAGCGAAACTATGTTTATTCTACACGTCTATGATGTTACAATATTTGTTTTCAGCAGCACTAAAATTATATCAGTAATATTCGATGAATATTCTATGGTGGAATTTATCATTGAAATTTAGATTTTGCACTGATCGATAGACTTACCGTTGCTTCAGCGTATTGCATCTGTCACGTGCAACACAATTAAGTTTTAAATCATATTATAAAATTATTTGTGACCAATATCTGCTACATGGGTCGCATTATGAATCAACGCAGTAAGTTTATATATTAATGAGAACATATAACTTAAAATGTAGAACAGTTTTTGTAATTGATAATTGTTGAAACATATTTGAGAAAGGTACATTATTCTATTACAATATTTGTTGTGATGCGTATTTGTCCTATTACTAAGGATATTACAACGGACGTTTCTATTTCGGGATTAATGAAGATTTTTGCTGCTATTAGAGCGGGGAGGAAGTTAAGAAAAAAATCAGTGTAGCACATGAAATAGCAATATTCGCCTCTGGATTACTGTGTTTTGGTTGAAATGAAACGGCTTTGAAACATAAACCGTACAAATATTGTTTCTCGTTGAATTCGTATACGATTCTTATGAGCAGACTTGTCGTAGATGTTATTGTAACTATTATACTACACGTTGTAATATCGGATGTTGCCGAGATATGGATCGAACGATTAGGTCGGTATTGATTTTGAAATTTTCGAAAACGAATTACGACCGAACCAGTGGTGGATTTAACGGTCGTTTAATCGGCGAATGCCGACGGGGCCCCTTCTTAAATTGTTTACTGAGGCCCAAAAAAATTGTAGTTAAATTTTTAAATTTTTCCACAAAAAAAAATTATAATACAAACTGTAATATCGTTTACAAGCAGCTTTGTAAAACGGGGCTAAGAATGTTAGTGATACATTTATTACGAGGCCCCTCTTTTGGATTTGCCGTCTTCATTTGAATCTTTAAATTCATCACTGGACGAACTCTAACCGATATAAGATCGGAATTTGGACGGACGTTGTAGATCATGGTCAACTCATGCATATTATTAGCTTATCTAATCGCACGGTGTCTTATTGTTAATACAGTGTTTATACGTGCGTGTATAAAGTAAATACTATACACTTACAAGGCGCAGTGGGAACGGTGTGTTCATCTGTTGAGAAATGGCTGATGTGTGTCCGGCGTCGGTAGCGATGCTCGGCGAAAAAATAAATTTCTGCTGCACAAACACGCGACCCTAACGGTAATAATAATAATAATAATAATAATAATAATAATAATAATAATATTAATTTTGCGTATCATTACGTCATACGTCGTTACGGTCTCGCAATGACGACGACCGCGAAAAAGGAACCAATAAAGTTAATGATGACAGTAAACACACCGCACGATTCACGCGATATTTTTTCGAAAATTATGTTTTTTAAATTTACCTGATCGTACTCCGACGTCTCCGACTTTCTCGGTCTTGACGAAAACAAAGTTGTCTTGGCACTAAGGTGTACGAGACGATTTGATCGGTGGGGACGCACGCGAAAGTCGATAACAGTGTCGTGGACCACCGCACCGCAACTGCTGCACCACCAACGCTGCCGTCACTGCCGCGACACTCGCTGAACTCGCGTTCGATTCCCATTCGGAAAACCGAACAAAGCGCGGCGGCGGCGGCGGCTACGGGTGCCGGGCGACGTAAAGTCCTCCCGTCTCGGTTTCGTTCACCCGTCGCCGCCCGCCCACCCAGCCACGGCCCCAAAACCTTATCAGTGTCCCGCGACGCTCGTCCACCACCCGCCGACCCGTCCCTTCACGTCCGACCGTCCGTTCTGCCCTGTCGCCGGGCCCTTCTCGGTCAACCCCCGCCGCGCACGCAGTAATCAGAAAATCCGTGATTTCCAAAGGGATGACAGATGGTGGTGCGGCGGAGCACGCGCTACGATCCCTGGCCGCGACGCAAGGGGTTTTCGTGGAGCGATCGGTATAGGCGAGGGGTAGCGTCGTTACCACGGTAACCGCGGGCGCCCGGTGCACGAGTTATCGACACCCTTTTTGTCGCCACCGCCGCCACCGCCTCCGCTTTAACTACACAACGGACCCCTTACCGCGTCGTTTGCCGGTCCACTCGACTCCCTCTCGACGGTGCACGGTGGAATGGTGGTGGCAGCGGACATGAGTACCGCGTGCCATCCCTATTTCCACCAACCCTCTCGTTTCGGTTTTTTTTTTTAGTATTTTATTTTGTAATGTTCGCTTCCTATTTACCGCTGCTGTTGTTATTATTATGCCGCCGGAGCTCGACGCACATCGATAGAATACGCACGCCGATCTGCCGCCGCCGCTGCAGACGTTATTAGCCCTTCGTCTCACTAAACGATATTATATTTACTTTCATATTTTTATTTTATTTTTATTTTTTTCATATCTCTGATATATTTATATACATGAGACTTATACCATTAAACTTTGATCCTTCTTTACACTTTATTTCCTCTCATTCCTGGCCAATGTCTTTCTACCTCTCATTATATTTTTCACCCTCTTAAGAAAGTAGTTTTTATTTAATGTAATTTGTTTTGAAAAAGCTTAATCTCATAACCTAAACCCATTTATAATTATTTTGTACTTGATAATTGTTATCTAATTTTTTTTTTCTTTCCGATACCAAATGTTATACTATGTTTAAGTTTTCACTATATTTATATCCATTTGCAAGTCATTGGACAATATATTTGTACATTTTATTTAGATAATTTAGTAATCAAGCATAATTAAACTCGAATGAACTTTTTTAAAAAATGTTAGTGTTCATTAATTAAAAATATATTAATTACTAATTACACACCATTGACGACATTATAAAGCGACTCATATCTATGTGTAAGAAGTGATTATTATTTATATAGTTAGTAAATGGTCTACTCTAACAATACATAAAATTAATAGATTTACTTGTATATTTTATAGTTGGTTTAATAACTTGATGGAAAATACATTATAAAATCCGCGTTGAGTGAACCCTCAATGTATTATTATTTAAAAATTTTCAGATATAGATAAATTAAATAATTTATTAAAAATACAAACATACATTTTATAAATAGGTAGTTTTTTCAATAATTGATTGTGAAATTGAATTAGTCTTAACTATAAGTTATAAATCTATGTTGTGTCTTGTCACTACTTCTGAAATGGTGAAGTATTATTAACCCAAAATCATATTTTTTCAATGAGTTCTCTACGTTGACTGATAAATATGATACCGTCTCACGTAGATTATGTGGGGATCTCGTAAATGTAAAAATCTTGATTGTAAAAATATACGACTGTATCAGTCTTAAATCCGAGACCCTATGCGCCGAAATTCAACGTACAATCACCGGTCCACCATGATTTATTTTTTTATTCAAGATTTTCACATTTACGATAACCCCATGTCATCGACGTGTAAAGTAGTTTGACATTTTTTTCTTCGAAAACTATGAGCTTATCGACACTGCTTTTCTACATTTCAATATTGAATAAATATTGCATCTGAAGTCTCGTGCTCGAAGGCATTGAATAATATTTAAATTTATTGATGTATTACGTTGTTTTAGAAGAATGATATTTTAAACTTAATAGTGAAATCAGTTATTTATAAAAATGGATATTCAATAGTCTTTATAATGTACTTTAACATGTTATAAAAACACAAAATGGTTTTATCAACAATCTTGATACGGAAATAATATTACATATTTCACCCTAAAAATGCTATTTGGAATTCAAGTATGTTTATTTTGAAAATTAATATATTGTGCATAAATATAATTTTGACTTCATTACGTAATACGAGTATACTACAGCCTATGAAGTAAAAGTTATGATTCCATTATGTCATACTCACAACCATCATAACTACGACAAACTTCATTTTTTCTGTTTTTTTTTTCGTTTTTAACCTTATCGCTAATAAGAGTGACTTATAGATACATACATCAACATCGTCGTGGAATCCTCCATCAATTCCTATGGTATTTACGCATCGTGTTTACTCGGCGTCTTTTAACATTAACGTCAACATACGACATCAATGAGGTTTGAAAATATGTGCTTTTAACAATATTATTCCGGGTACGCCGGACATAAAACGAAAACATGTACACAACTCACGACAATATTTCAATTTTTTATTTATAGACCATAGAAATATATATTTAAGTACATCATACATGTACACAAAGAAAACGTTCCTTTTATACGCATCTGTTTGCTGTTGTTCGAACGTTGCTATTATTAATAACAATTTATCATACGGCATTGATACGATACGAAACTGATGTATATGTGTACTCGTATAATATTATAGTGGCGTACCAATTTCCTCGACCCAAGAATAAGACAAATATTGTTTCATCTACAAAGTGTAATGCTGTCTCGGATAATCGGATAATTATATTATTTCAATAAGTAATTTATTAGTGAAATTGATTAATTTCAAGCAATGTGGTTTATGAAGACATCACTAATGATGAAATGGATTTGCTTTCTAATAAAAACGGTTGAATTCATTTGCCGATATGGAATGTATTATTCACTTATCAAAAAAGATTACACTGAAGTTATACAAGTAATGGTTATGAAAGGAAGTATACTAAATATACGGTACTTTCCTGTTATACGAGACTACGACTGTTATCACGACTACCACTCAAGACTACCTCCGTTATGTTTGTATTTTTGTAGTCTTAGATAACAGGATTGTGATGTGATCAAAAAACAGGGTAGTCTTGTATAACAGGAAAGTACCAAATATATTGTATAAGCTTGTTCATATGCAGTAAAGGGTCGATGTTCCAACAACCCATGGGTTTACTATACATGGGTTCAACATTATATTTTTTATGAATTTTACATAATTAATTATGTCCTTCTTATATCTATGTTTATATAATGAACTTTATAAGTTAATAAGTGACAAACAATACAAAATATAGATAACACAGAATTATAACTCAAAGTTATAACGATAACAACTGTTATTATATGACATCATAACACTGCACTTAATGTATCAATAAGATGTTGGAAATCTCCTAATTCAATCAATATTAACGAAGCTGTAATTTTAGATTGGTCATTGATTGTATAAACTGTGGACCCTGTGGTTTTCAGCCCAATGTCGTGATCACTTATATGATTACAATAATTGTAATAATTATAATTATTATAACTCTAACAAATACCAATGCAAATTTTGTTAAAAATAGATTTGATTAAAATTAAAATAAAAACTTCTAGAAGAAATTTGAAGAACTATTAAAATGTATAATAATAAAAAAAGAAAAATTCGCAAATATAAATGTATTTAATAACATAATTGTCGAGAATTCATAGTTTTAATTCGATTCAGTTAGTTGTTTTTTTTCATAATTAATTAATTAACACACTTATTTTAATTTTAAAGGTTAAAATGTATTTTTTTGTTTACATACCGATGTTTTCTTTTGAATAATTTCGGATCCGAAATAATTTATAAAATACTAATAATAATTTGTAATTTAATTAACAAATGTAGATTCATGTTTTCGAGATATATTTTATAACAAATATATGTTAATTTTGGTTTATAAGTTTATAAGGTATTAATGAAAAGTTATTTAAATCCAAACTTCACGTTACGTAATTCAGAGAGAATTTTTAACCTGTGTTAATGAATTAATTCTACAAATGTTCTCATTGAAGCCATTTTAACATACAAGTAAATTGCGGCATGCATAAAATAATTTATTTTATTTAGTTTAACTGCTTATCAAATTATAATATTGCAACATAGGATAATGTCATTCATGTTATAAGATCCATGAGATAAGCATAATGTTATTAACATACATGAGAACAAATCATATAATTACTACATTGCACTAACTATAGCATACAAAAAAAAAAAAACAACTAACATTGGTAACAATTAAGTGAAAATACATTTATTGATACCATCGATGGATTTATATTTAAACTCGATCGTGAACAAAATATTATTATGATAAATGTAAATAAAACTGTTTTACTTTTTCGTCGATGTATTTTTAACTCTTGTTGTAATAGTGATTATATTTAGTCCGTGGATAGCCATCGATTTGATTAATATGAGTATATCGATTGGATGTATGAACAGAGATTAATATACATATACAATCATCTTTGTAATGTATTGCATACACATACACACACACATACATACACACATTTATGTGTAAAATTATAAAAAATTATAATTTCTGTGCTGGAGCGATAACTAAAAATTACTGTCATCTCAGAACGAATCGTTTTAATTTCAATAATTTATAGAAATCTTGTACATGATTTTCATGTAGTTTTTCTGTATTTCAAAATCTCTAATGCTTTTGTCGCAATAAATATTATTTGATTGGTGGCATAAAAAAACAAAAACCACACGTGTGACACGTACGTATTTTAATTTCTTAAATATTTCTAAATTTTATTTGTAATAATTTCTGATTAATTCAAAATGGAGATTCTAATATTTCATAAAACCATATAGCATCAAATATTTTAAAATATTTTACGTAGTTGCAATAAAAATTTTAAAGATTTTTACTCTGCAGATAGTCCGATATTTTCTGTGAACTATTGTTTATTAAAGGAGTACCTACATAAAAATGTCTTGTAA